ATGTGTTTAATGCAAATTATGAAACTAATGAATAAATTAGTTGTTAGCGCGGGGTCGCGGGTTCCGCTGACCAACAACCGCGCTCCAGAACGCCGGAACCACTCAGCGCTGAGCGCGGAGAAAGCGTAGCGCGAATTCGAGAATTCACAGTGGGAGTCGAGCAACGATTAAATCACACACAGAGAGGGTGATATTGAACCGACTTCGAGAAACAGAAATATTTATTATCCAAAGTCAACGGTGAAAGTCGGAGCATGGGCTCGAATCACCCCGCACAAAGGCACCAGCAGCTGCAAATACCGGAGGCGGAAATCTTCAAGTTTCCCGTAACTCCTGCTTCATACGGCGCGACGGAAATCTTGCCGGACGACAAATAATCGCCCTACCGATCGGAAGATCTTGTTCGCGCTGACGGTGTTCTTGTCGCGGGCAGGGGGAAACTCGCGCTCGCGAACAGCCGCTGATGCAAAAAGGGGGGGGGGTGTCCGACCCCGGAGTGATTACACCTTCACACGCGACTGTGTTTTCGGGTACACCACAATTAATCACTGACAATTAGTAATACGCGAGTAATACGGCAAGTCCAGTAACCTCCGCTGGAGTCACTGGATCTAACGCACAATCCGTAGCGGGCACACGCAGTAGCGAGACGGACTACGGGCCTCAGGGAGTGATTCGCGGAGATGGCTGCTGCCTCGGTCTTACAGAGCGACTGACTCGATCACGAACGGTTCCGCGATCGCGCGAAACATGAAGCGAAGCTTGATTGGTGGAAAAGCTCACGCGATCCAGCTAGCAAATGGGTGAAAGCCCGAGACCCGCCGGTCGTCCGATCACACGCGGAGCACGCGCCCAAACGGTGCGAGTTCGAGGACGCGACGCACGAAAGCATCGCGGCGCGACCCGCAGCGATGAGCGACCAGAGATCGCGCCACGATGTCGAATCGGAGCGGAACTCGAACATACTGCCCGCCTTGAAACGTAGTTTCAAATTAAACTTCATTAGGCAGAATTACCACGATGTAAGGCGGGAGAAAGATCACCAACGGGGATCACCTTCGGCATCGCTGAGTCTACGCAATCTCAGGATGAGGAGATCCACCGGGTGAAACGGAGATACAAAGTACAAAGCGCAAGTTAGACTAAACTAAGGGACGCATGGAACATTGACAGGATACGTGAAGGTGTCGCAGAATGTCATATAAGACAAGAAGATCAGACAGACGATGAAGGCATTAAGTCCCGATGTAGAGTTATGGCGCTAGACCTGACGCGCGTCACCGGTACAGTCACATGGTGACACCATCGGAGCTTTCGAGTGGCAAAATACACAATTTTCCAATTGAACGAACGTACTCCGAGGCGGCGGTCTTGACGGTCACGACGCGGGTGTGACCATCGGAGCCCGGATGCAACCGGATAATACGGCCTAAATCCCACTTGCACGGAGGCAACAACGGGTTGCGCAGTAGCACGAGTTTTCCTACACTAATAGACGGTTGAATTTTTCGCCACTTGCTTCGCTGTTGCAATGTGTTAATATAATCGGATGTCCACAGTCTCCAGAAACGCTCGATCATGTGGCGAACAGTTTGCCACCGCGAGAGTCGATTTTCGGCGAGGTGGAGTAATGACGGCTCAGGAGGAACAGTAAGAGACGATCCAACAAGAAAGTGCCCCGGAGTCAGACATTGATAATCGTCGAACGAGTCCGAAAGAGGAGCGATTGGGCGAGAGTTCAGACACGCCTCAATCTGAATCAAGAGTGTTGAGAACTCTTCATAGGTGAGGGTGTGGTTGCCCAAGACACGACGCAAATGGTGTTTCACGCTACAAACACCGGCCTCCCACAATCCGCCGAAATGAGGAGAGGAAGGAGGAATAAAGTTCCACTCAACGCTGTCGCAGGCGGTGCGATTGAGAAAATTAGGGTCGCGGATCGCGTTTCGATAGGCGAGCCGCAATTCCGCGTCAGCGCCAGTAAAGGTTGTGCCGTTGTCGGAATACATGGCTTGGGGCAAGCCTCGGCGTGAACAGAATCGATTAAAAGCGCTTAGGAACGCGGGTGTGGAATAGCCTCCAACCAATTCTAAATGAATGGCTCTGGTGGCCAGGCACACAAATAAGGCAATGTAAGCCTTTCTCGAGGTTATGCCTCGACCGGCGGAAGCCCGAATATGAACTGGACCAGCGTAATCGACGCCGCAGTGAGAAAAACTGCGGGAAGACGGGGACACGCGACTGGCGGGTAGATCCCCCATGAGCTGAGTCGGAACTACAGCGCGTTCGCGAGTACACGCGACGCAATCGTGAATGACAGATTTAATGACGCTACGGGCACGGGTGATCCAGAATGTTCGACGAAGAGTACTCAGAGTAAGCTGGGCTCCAGCGTGAAGATGGCGCAAATGAGTATGAGCAACGATGAGACGCACCAAAGGATGAGGAGACAGAATGATCGGATGCCGCTGGCCGTACGGAATCGGAGCGTTTCGGAGTAGACCGCCCACTCGCAGCACGCGATCATGATCAAGAAACGGGTTGAGCGCAATGATGGGACTCTTTGAGGAGATGGATCGATTCGAAAGGAGAGCGTGGAGCTCAGCAGGGAAAAGCTCGCTCTGAATGAGTTTGATCCAAACGATGGTGGACCGGGCGCACTCATCGGAGGAGAGCGCCAGGGAATCGATTCTCAGAGTACGACCATCGATTTTGGATCGGCGACACGCATTGGCAAAGCGAAGGACGTACGCGGTGACGCGAATCAATTTGTTCCAAGAGGAATATCGAGTCGCGAGGTCCCATTGGATGGGGGCCTCCGCGATATGATGTGAGCGTACTCTTTCCTCTAACGGAGCATCCATTTGATAATTAATCGGGTTGTGGGGCCAGTCCTTGGAAGGTGAGCATAGCCATGGAGGACCATGCCACCAAAGGGTGTGAGCGAGCAGCTCATCACCCAAAATGCCACGGGATGCACAATCGGCAGGATTGTATGCAGCGGGTACATGGCGCCAGGTGGCGCCTGATAAAGTCGACTGAATTTGTGCGACGCGGTTGGCCACGAACGTGGTCCAGCGCGATGGATGTGATTGTAGCCATGAGAGGACCACAGTGGAGTCAGTCCAACAGGTACATGAGACGGAATCCAAACGGAGGACGCCCCTGACAAACTGCATGAGACGACTCAGAAGGAGGGCGGCCGAGAGCTCGAGTCGAGGGATCGTGAGGGGCTTGATCGGAGCGACTCTAGATTTGCCGGCGATCAATGATACGGTGACTTCACCGGAAGGCGAACAAGCCTTTAAGTAAATTGATGCGGCATAAGCTTGCGTGGATGCATCGGCGAATCCGTGCAGCTCGAAGGACGCGTGTGGTTGAGCATGGGTCCATCGCGGTAAGGTGACTTCGTTTAGGCGCACGAGATTTTTATAAATGAGGTGCCATTGTTTGAGCAGGGGAGGATCGAGATCCTGATCCCATCCGAGTTGCGAGCGCCACAGCGCTTGCATGAGGATCTTTGCGGCGACGGTGACGGGGGTAGCCCAGCCCAACGGATCGTACAGCCTTGCGATCGTGGACAGAATCGTGCGTTTGCATCGTGGGACCGCGCTGTCGAGAGTCACCGTAAAAGTAAAAACATCGCGCGATGGGTTCCACACGATTCCGAGCACCTTGACCCGTTCATCAAGTGCTGGCGGAAAGCTGCACGCCAAGCCATGATTGGCAGGGTCGATATCTGAGAGCAGGTCGGAGGAATTGCTCGCCCACTTGCGTAACTCGAATCTCCCACAATGGAGCAGGGCGACCAGCTGATCTCGCCGTAGGCGCAAGGAATCCCGGTCGTGATCCCCGAACAGAACATCGTCTACATAAATGTGATCACGCAGGATAGGCACGG